TACATAACCTATGCACATCCTCCCATATATTTTAAATTTTCTGTGGATTACTTATAATACCTAATACAATATAAATGCTATGTAAATAGTTGTTATATTTGTTTTTTATTGTTATAGCCTTTATTTTTTAAAAAATATTTTCAGAACATAGTTTCTTGAATCATGGATGCAGAATCAATGGAGACCTAGGACCGGCTGTATTTTCATCCTTCTTTTCTTGTCCTCTGTTCCCCACAGACAGCTACATGATCTTACTGAAAGTAAAAATCAGATGTCCTGGTATAAGCCTCTTCAGTGATTCCACATTGCACTTAGAAGACAGTCCTCACTCTCACCGTGGTTCCAGCAGTGCTGTGCTGGAGCACACCAGCTTAGGAGAGCCCATTGTTCCATGATTAAGAATTGTGGAAGATGTTAAACACAGCCATTGTTAAAAACTAAATGACAAAACATCCATTTAATTAACTTAGGTTGAAAACAAAAAATAAGAAATACTCAAAATTCATCACTTTCCAGTTATTTCACCTTTTTGTTGTTGTCTGTGCTTTCAAGGTTTTATGTCACCCGTCTTATCAGTGTGATAGAACTGGTAAATAATGATGTACTGCTGGGCCCATGCTGGGTATCACGCCCATCTCCAGTCCATTTATTTTCTAGTCTTCTGTGAGTTATGGATAGTGACCAAACAACTGATCCTACAGCAGGGCCCTTAGTATTCAGTTATTATTAGTATTTCCTTTTCTTGCAACGATAAAGCTTTATTATTGTCAGTGGATTTTTATGCCATCATTGAAGTCACCAATATTTAGTAAGTTAATATTGCTTGCAATTTTCTGAATAGGTGGGCCAGGTGCGGTGGCTCAAGCCTGTAATCCCGGCACTTTGGGAGGCCGAGGCGAGAGGATTGCCTGAGCTCAGGGGTTCGAGACCAGCTTGGGCAACTTGGTGAGACCTCATCTCTACAGTAAATCAAAAAATAAGCCAAGCATGGTAGTGTGCTCCTGTAGTTCTAGCTACCTGGAAGGCTAAGGCAGAAGGATCGCCTGAGCCCAGCAGGTTGAGGCCACCATGGCTCTGAGCGTGCCACTGCACTCCAGCCTGGGCAACAGAGTGAGACTCCAACTCAAAAAAACCAAAAAAACAATTTTATGAATAGGCTTTTATATCATACATCTTATGTTACACAACACCACAAATCTAGGCTCAGCTTTCATCCCTGCTAAGGGCACTCCACTGAGGTATAATCTCTTTCTTAAACATGTGTTGTCTTGTCTTTCAAAATACAACTCACTATTGAATTACTTTTTTTTTCCTTGCAAGATAAATGTCAATCAGTATTTACTGTTTATCTATATTTTATACATTTTTAGGTACTTGTTTTTATTTGTAAAATTTTTGACATTTTTACTGAATTGTGTATACTTATCCTGACTGCTGCTACTGATGATAAATACATGAATCGAAAAAAGAAATATACCAGATCAAGCTTAAGTAGATACGCTAAGTAGATCCCATCAATCTTCAAACTAGATAGAGAAAGTTGCATTTCCACTTTCACAAAATTTGTACATATTTCTCATTAATTTCTCACTAATTTTATTAGCAATCTTTTAAAAAAATTCACTAGGATTTACTGTAGTCGGTTTTGTGATGAGAAAAATTCAAGATCCCACAACATTTTGTTATATCTGACCTTTGTTTGATATAGGTAGGTAGGTGGGTGGGTGGGTAGGTAGGTAGATAGATAAATAGATAATATTGATTCCTCCCCAGCTGGACTGGTATTTTGTAGGTTTAGTCTACTATTTTCATATGGCATATAAACTAACTGAAAGTTTAAAACTCAGCCATAGTGTCGAAGCTAGACATAAAAATGCCAACTCCAGAACTATTCTCTCCCATAAATGTATCTGTATTTTTTAAAAATAAAGATTATGGGCTGTGATTATCAGTTAATATTCACAAGTTTGTATTTTAAGGAATAAAGTTTAAACTTTTAAGTAGTTTTGTTTTTGAAGAACATTTATTAAAGATGTTGCTTTCTGTGTGTGAGGAAGAAAGATGGAGGGAGAAATATGGTATTTATCTTGCACACCTGAAAACAAGCAGAAACTTGTGTCTATTTATCATGACCCTGTCATTATCCTGAATAAAATTTGCCTTGATCTGGCACATACTTCGCCATTTCTCTATTTGTATCTAGCTGGAGTGACATCCTCCTTTTCATCTACACACCCAACTTTCCCTCTCCCAAGACTTCTGTGTCCTTTTCAAACTTAAATAGAGTGACCTATTCACTTATCCTTTGGGAAGGCACTACACCTGGACCTCAGGATCCCCAAATCCTAGAACAGCACCTGCGTCTCATCTGTTCAGTGATGGTATGAATGCTGAAAGGCATGATTTCAAGGAAATAAAGGCTTTTCCCCTTTATATGATACCAGATGGTAAAACATTCAACTATTTGTCATTTTTTTAGAGACTTAGGTGAATGAGTTTCTCTATGGCTGGCTACAGTTATCCACATGCTGCTTTTTTTGTATAGCCATTTGAGTGAAGATTCCAGAGTAAGATGAAGAGACTTAGAACTTGGTGGTAAGATAAGCACCATTGGCCTTATATGTGCAAGTTAGTATCACCTGGAACATCAGTGACAGAATTACTAAAGAAGTAAAGAATACAGTATGCTTGTATTCTAAATAACAAAATAGAGGCCAGAAAACATTTGCTGACTTGAGCAGCTGAGGTCAAGGTCAAAAACTTTGGAAAGGTCTAAACAGCTCATAGATAAAAAGGAAATTAGTGAATATTTAAAGAATCAAAATAAAAATAGTGAAGTGTACTTATTTAACTTTAAGAGATTGTGTTTAACCAATTTAGGTATTTCATGGTTTATAAGTAGAAAATAGAAGCGACTGATTTGTATAAAAACTTAAACAATTACGTAAGTGGGTAAATAGTACTCCACTTGATACAGTCATTCAGGCATGAAGTTAGTCTAACAAAGGTATAAAATATCATAATCAGCTAAACTCAGATTTTTAAGGAAATGATATTTAAAATAAATGTTTACTTGACAGTTACATCCTATGACATTGAGTAAATTCCACAGCTTTTTCTGTCTGGTTGATGTAATTTCTAGAATATTAGATATGTCCTTTCTCTTATTTATTTAGCTTATTGATACTACCATTTAGAGATTTGTTCTTTGACTTTAGATTTTATTCCCAATTCAGATAAAAATACCTCTGAGAGGGTTAACATATTGTTCATTTTTCTGAAAACATTTTTATGGAAAAAAATAGCAACATTGAGAAGACTCTGGGAGGGGACAGTATCACACTATCTAAAAATGCATTTATTGGCTGGACATGGTGCTTCATACCTGTAATTCCAGCATTTTGTGAGGCTGAGGCAGGACGATTGCTTGAGACCAGTCTAGGAAACATCATAAGACCTCACCTCCACAAAAAAAATTTAAAAATTAGCCGGGCATGGTTGGTTGCATATCCCTGTTCTCCTAGCTACTTGGGAGGCTGAGGAAGGAGAATCTCTTGAGCCTTTAGTGAGCTATGATTATGCCACTGCATTTCAACCAAGGCAACAGAGCAAGAACCTATTTCTTTAAAAAAAAAAAAAAAGTCCTTCTTTTGCAAATAAGCCCTAACCTTATCCCATTTCTGCTTATGTAAAAAAATAATGCATATATAAAGTTGTTTATTGCAGCTGCAAGTTATTTAAAATTAGGATTGTCTCAAGTACATATTACTAGGAAATTGGTTAAATGAACTATGGTACATGTGCATAATGGAATACTGTGTAGCTGCTTTTAAAAGAAAAAGAGGCCAGGCGCTCACACCTGTAATCCCAGCATTTTAGGAGCCCGAGGCAGGAGAATCGCTTGAGCCTAGGAATTTGAGAGCAGCATAGACAACATAGTGAGACCTTGTCTTTACAAAAAAATTAAAAACTTAGCCAGGCATTGTGGTCCCAGCTACTCAAGGGACTGAGGCGGAAGTACCGCCTGAGCTCAGAAGGTCGAGGCTGTGATGAGCTGTGATCATGCCATTGTACTCCAGCCTGGGCAACAGAGCAAGACCCTGAATCAAAAATAATAATAATTAAAGAGGCAACTTTTGATATACTAAAATGGACTATTTCCAGCATATTGTTGAAGAAAAAGATCAAAATCCATAGCAGTATATAGAATGTTATCTCTTATGTAGCAAAGAGACAAAATAAAATAATTAATGTAATTATTTTTTATTTGCACAGAGAAACACTTGCAAGATACAGGATAAATTATTGAGTAGTTATGAGGCTATGCAAAAGAGATCTGGGGGTAAATATCACGTATTAGTGTATATACATGAGGATAGAGAGGAGTGAGACTTACCTTTATATCCTTTTACATTGTTTTTATTTTTAATTTTGAATCGGTGTCTCACTCTGCCACCTAGGCTGAAGTAACACTGGCATGATCATGATGATCATGGCTCACGACAGCCTTGACCTCCAGGGCTCAGGTGATCCCAAGTAACTGGGACTACAGGTGCACACCATCATAGCCAGCAAATTTTTTATTTTTGTTTTTGTATAGATGAGGTCTCATTTTGTTGCCTAGGCTCGTCTTGAACTCCTGGGCTCAAGTTATCTGCCTGCCTTCGCCTTCCAAAGTGCTGGGATTACAGGCATGAGCCACTGTGCCTGACCTGTTTTGAATTTTAATCATGTGACTGTATTGCCTATTTTTAAAAGATGGCTTCCTGAATGAATGACAAGATTAAATTTCACAAAAGAGCAATTCATCTCACGTGAGGAGGCTAGATGTTTCACACATGTTTTACCTATGTCACTCTGCAGAAGGTTGACTCTGAAGGGCTTCATTCACTGCAGACCTCCAACTGTTTATGCAGAGCACTGAGAATGAGAGGAACTTCTGCAACATGCTGGCAAGATGCCCCCTAGTCATGTTCAATGTGTCTTGTGTTTTCCTGCAGATGCCAGAGGAGCAAGCATTCTGTGTTTTGGTGAAAATCATGTATGACTATGGTTTGCGAGACCTCTACAAAAACAACTTTGAAGATCTTCACTGCAAATTCTATCAGTTAGAGAGACTAATGCAGGTAATATAAATTAGGAACTTGTATCACTCAGGGATTTTCTTGTTATAAAAAAGTAGACATATGGAAGATCAATTTACATTAGCACAAGGGTGGGATCAGCAGCCTCTGGGCACTGCTTGGGGAGGGAGGAAGGCAGGTAAGAGAGTGGGAGTATGTGACAATACAAAGAGTATCTGGTCTACTACCAGGGAAACTGAGGGCCAATTAGAAACCCAAACTTCACCTGCAGGGATCCTACTTGTATAGTTAATCCTCACTTGTGCCTCATAGTTCTACAATTAAAAAAAGAAAGAAAAAGCCTAAAAGAGTTAGTAAGTGATAATGCATTATCAAAGTTTAAGGGAATATTACAAAAAAAAGTGAATGGATTTGGTTACTGACCAATATCTACACTAGTCTTACTATTATATTTACTTATTCATTTGACTATTTTTAAAAATAGTCTCATACTTCAAATGTTCAATTTTAATAAACTTTGAAGTGAGGATATAGTGAGTTAAGTCAGTGAAGAGATTGCCAGGTATTATTTGTAGAAGAATGAAGATATTTACAGAATAAAAATTGGAATACCTAAGTACTTTCTCCATACTAATTAGCACTACTACTTTATTTGGGTCTACATAGAACACTTGGAGAGGACAGAAAGATATTGATAAGAGAATTAAAATACCTAAAATAGTGTAATGTAGGGACATTTTTAATTTTTTCCATATAATTCCTGATCCCAAACAATGTTATTGGTTTGCTTTATATTGTACATTTGTAAATATGTGTGAGAAACATATATCCATATATTATATAAGTCAAATATTATATAATAAAAAAGATTGTGAGGAAGGGCAAAATGGTTGACTAGCTCTGACCAAAGGAATTATCGAGTAGCTTTGAAGTTCCACCTGAAGTTGGAAATCTTAAATTTATAATGGGTCCATTCAGCATGTTTATTTGGCTTTCTCTAAAAGAGGTGCTGGGAATCCAAAAGAAATGTGCAGGAAGTATATGCATGGATAGATTTTATCTTGGGAAAAGGTAAAATGGTTGGGGAAGAAAGTTAGTGGGTGTGAGAGTAGAAGATAGTGCGTGTGAGAGTAGAAGATGCCTGTAGAAATTTACTGTCACGAACCATCAGGAGACCCACTGGTATTTACAGAGGAAGCAAAACCAATAGGAGACTGAGAAATTAGAAGAACCAGGAAGCAGTGTTTTCAGTGAGGCTAAGGAACAGTTTAATTAGGAGAGGAGAATGTAGGACGGTAGAAAACCTTAAAAATGAAACAGAAATAAAGGGAGGTAAAATGAGCTGTAGGTACAGTGACAAATGGGCACTGAAGGGAGGAAAGACTGTATAGAATGATCTGGTAACTATAGATATTAAGGCTCTTCTTAAAATATTTAATTCCAACAAGTAAATATTTGGTATTACTCACTTTTTAACCTCTCATTTACAAAAGTTTGTATTTTTTCAAAGGTCAGTATTTTTAAGGACTTAGAGAGTCAGGTATATATACCTAATAAATGAAGAACAAATTTGTGGTACTTTGGAGAAACTCAACCACATTTTTCTATTAGCTGTTTTTTTTTTCTTTTTTTTTCCCCCAAATTGGATGACCATTTGAACACCCTGTTTAAAGTAACTGATGATCCTATTTAAGTATTTTTCAAAGAGAGTGCAGGAAATGGTTTTCTTTTGTTTGTTTTTTGTTTTTTTGAGTTGGAGTCTCACTCTGTCTTTTACTTTTGTTTTTGTGGCCCGTTTATGAAAACATAACGAAAGTGGGCTTTTACATATATTTGCCTGTGTTTTTCAGTTATGGGAATAGCAAGACGAATACATTGTGCATTTCCTTTCATACTTTTGAAAAGCATTTGCTTGTTTAAGTTGGGAAAAATATAAAGCTAGCATAAAGACATTTTGGAGAGAGATTCAGTTCCATACATTATACCCTTGCATAATTTCTTTATCTTGCCATTTTTAATATGTTGAAGATAGGTTCTTAAATATTTAGTTATACCTTGAGATTTTCCAAGTGCTCAAAAAATATACTGAAATGACATCATAGGCCCCAGACTATTAGATGGTTTCCAAAGAAAGATTCATTTCTTTTCTAGCTAGTTGAGAGCTGAGCCCTGAATGGAGCTGCTGTAACTTGAATGGAGTCAGGATATTCATTAGACTGCAGGTGTTTTGTCAGAAAGAGCATCTCCCAAGAAACAAGAACAGTCAAGTGAGCAAGAGATGCTCTTTATTTGTTGTTTATAACAAGTCTGTTTTTTATTTTCCTCAATTATCTGTCATGTCCCCTATTCTCATCTCCTGTCATTACTTCTGGATCATTACATAAAATGTAGCCTCTTCTGGGATAAAGTTAAAGTGATCATAGAATGCTTTTCATAAATTGCAGTAGTGGCAGAAAGTAGCACTTTGTTGCTTCTCTTCCTAAATTCCCTACTTTGCCTTTTAGGAGCAGCTGCCTGACCTGCACAGCCATTTTTGTGATCTGAACCTGGAAGCTCATATGTATGCATCCCAGTGGTTCCTCACTCTTTTCACTGCCAAGTTCCCACTCTGCATGGTGTTCCACATCATTGACTTGCTGCTCTGCGAGGTAGAGAATCCCATCTTTCACATCTAAGCCACAACAGAAAATAGTTTCAATTGCTTATAGTTTCTTCATTTTCTTTTCTCCTGTAACATTAAGCCATAATACTCACTGACCAAAAAGTTCTATTTGAATTTTTAGTAAAGATTCTTTTTAATTGCAATTTTATTATTTCTGAGGAGTGAAAATATTAAGGCATATATATTCCTACAAAGTAAAATGGGGTGATTAAATTTGTATAAGTTCATAATAAGTCTATATCTGTGTAATAATGTATTATCAATATAAAGGACCTTTAAGTTTAAGTAAATGAATTTAGAAGTAGATGTTTAGATGTTTTTAATTTTTAAATATTAAAATTAACATATTTCTTCACTCATATGATATCTTTCTGGGTATGATATTTGAGGTTCTTGCCAAATGAAAAAAAATTATAAACTAAAGCTATTTTGTCATATAATTTATATTTTTATACTGTAAAATATTTCAAAAATTAGTTTGTAAAATTCCTTATGTCTTTATATTTATTTATTGTGTTTAGTTCCTTAGGTGGCTATATTTATCTGCTTCACTCTTTTAAAGAAGTAAGTAGCATTCTGCCAGCTACAGTGGTTCACACATGTAATCCCAGCACTTGGGGAGCATGAAGCAGCAGAATTACTTGAGCCCAGGAGTTCAAGACCAGTCTAGACAACATAGCAAGACCTTGTCTCTGCAGAAGAAAATTAGCTATTGTAGTGGTACATACCTGTATTCCCAGCTACTTAGGAGGCTAAGGCAGAAGGATCATCTGAGCCGAGGTCAAACTACAATGAGCCACGATCTTGCTACTACACTCTTGTCTAGGTGATGGAGTGAGACCCCCAACTCAAAAAAAAAAAAAGTGGGAGTAATCAAAAGTGTAAGCTCATGCACATTATTATTATTATTTTTGAGTTGGAGTCTCACTCTGTCACCCAGACTGGAGTGCAGTTGCATGCTCCTGGCCACCATAACTTCAAACTGCTGGGGTCCAGCAATCCTTCCGCCTCAGCCTTGCAGGAAGCCGGAACTACAGGTGCATGCTACCATGCCTGGCTAATATTATTATAAGCTTAATATAGTCTAGACTGTTTTGTATTACTATTCCTTTTAAAGGTAAATATTCTTCTTTTTAAATTTTTTTATTTGTATAAATTTAAGAGGTACAAGTGCAGTTTTATTACATGGATATATAGTGTAGTAGCGAGGTCTGGGCTTTAAGTGTAACCATCCCCTGAACAATGAACATTGTACCCATTAAATAATTTCTCATCCTTTCTACCCCTGACCCTCCTACCCTTCCAAGTCTCCGGTGTCTGTTATTCCATACTCTATGTCTATATGTATGTATTATTTAACTCCCACTTACAAGTGAAAGCATGCAGTATTTGTTTCTCAGTTGTTTCACTTAAGATAATGCCCTCCAGTTCCATCCATCTTGCAGCAAAATACATGATTTTGTTCTTTTATGGCTAAATAGTATTCCATAGTTTATGTATACCACATTTTCTTTTTCCAGGCATCTGTTGATGAACACTTAGGTTAGTTCCATGACTTTACTATTGTGATTAGTGTTAACAATAAACATACAAGCACAGATATCTTTTTATAGAATGATTTCTTTCTCCTTGGGTAGATAGTCAGTAGTGAGACTGCTGGATCGAATGATATTTTTACTTTAGTTTTTTGAAAAATCTCCACAGTATTTACTATAGAGGTTTTACTAACTTTCATTCCTGCTACAGTGTATAAACGTTCTCTTTACATCCTTGCCAACGTCTGTTACTTTTTGACTTATTGTTAATAGCCATTCTGACTGGTGGAAGATGATTTCTTATTGTGTTTTGTTTTTCTCTGATGATTAGTGATGTTGAACATTTCATCATATGCTTGTCGGCAATTTGTATGTCTTCTTTTGAAAAATGTCTATTAATGTCCCTTGTTTACTTTTTAATGGGGTTAGTTGAGTTTTTTTGGTTGTTGTTGAATTGTTTGAAGATTCTGCTTCCTTAAAAGAAAAGTCTTAACTATTTTAATCATACTAGGAATTGGAAGTTTAAGTGTAAAAATAAAATTTAGAAATATAAAATGTATAAGCTATGTATAACATAACCATGTTATTCCTCAGCCTACCACAGCAGTAACAATTTTATATACAAGCATAGTTGTGCTTTTGATCTTCGAAGGCTTTAGTTAGCAGTTGAGAGTACCTGAAGGTCACAGAGCATGGAAGAGTTTTAATCCCTTGTAACGTACTTTGATCAAGAAGAGTTCAGTGACTTGCTAGGCTCACAGAATGGGCTTCCGAATTCTGAATATAATAGCTAGTGTGTATCTAATGTATAATTGATACCACATTAATTCTCCTATTTGTTTTACTTACAAATAGGTTTGTAAAATGCCTTTCTAAATTTAACTTGAAGGAAGAATGCAGAATTAGGAACTAAAACCTTACTCAAAGTCAACATAGTGTGATTGTAATATTCACAAAGCATATTTAGGCATTTGTACCAAATACTCTACTTTGCCTAATTACCCAAACTGATGTAGTAAAGAGTTCCGATTCCCCTGTTTTAGTGTAATTCTCTCTTAAAGTAAAATCCAAATTCACACTTTTGTATTCTAGAATCTTAAAACAAGCTAATACTAAAAGTTTGTTTTGATAAATAAATATTCATAGGCTTTATTTATTATATACTGAGTTTAGTGGAGAAAATGGGGGTATGACATTTTAACAGGTTGTGCATTGTATGATATGTAGTATGAGCTTGCAAATATTTATTATCACTGCTTCACAATTTATGCTGAAAGAGACTATCTAATTTCATACTAGATTGATTCTATAGTGTTCATTATAAAAAGGAATAAAATTAGTATGCTTAATCAAACCAGCTAAATAGGATTTCCTAATCACTTTTGGTAGTGTGATAATGCTATTGTTTAGTTCACTAGAATGGTGACTTTCTAAAGGTATCCCAATACACTGTATTGGGAACAGTATCATAGCATGCTTCAGGATATTTGTTCTTTCCACTAACTCATCTTTGTCAAGAAATATTTTACAAAGGAAATTTTAAAATAAATTTCCTATGTAAAATATTTCTTGACTAAGATGAGTTAGTGGAAAGAACAAATTTTTACTTCCTGCCTGTCTGTGTTTTCTCTTTGCCCCTTTCCTTTTTGTAGTTAATAAAATATTTATATCAAAAGCTATTCTTTCATATGCGATGAAATAATCCAAGAGAGGAAATGGTAATAAGTCTTAAATAGATCATTCATAGGTATTTGTTTTTGTCAAATTCTCTTTTTTTTAAAGAAAACAATTTAAATCTTGATGGCTATAAATTAATGTTTAGTTACAAATGGAAAGTTAGGAAAAGTGTTGATAGTTACAAATGGAAAGTTAGGAAAAGTGTTGATTTTTCAAGGTTTATCATTCTTATAAAAAAATTTGGTCTGCAAAGTATTTTACTCAAGGGTTTTATTGCAAAGTAGTTTGGGATGTTACTCTTAGAAGGCGTATCATTATATCATGCTTTCCTAAGCTATATGCTTTTAAGAATTTCTTCATTCATTCTGCAGTTAAGAATATGAAGTTAATTCAGCATGAAAGAGAATAATTTTATAGAATCTGACAATGCAACTGGGTCAAAAACAGGTAGTTATTCATAGTTGTATTTAAAATGTGTGCTTAAGCCTGAATATATGATGACATGGGTTAATTCCAGGAGGATGGATGGCAACAGGATTTTAAGCTATCGGTTACAAATACATTTTCTTATATTAAGATAAGTTGAGTTCTCTTTAGATCATCTTTTAGTCAATAATTGAAATGAAAATAATTTTTAAAAACTAACCTGGCTGGGCACGGTGGCTCATACCTTTAATCCCAGCATGTTGGGAAGCCGAAACGGGAGAAATTGCTTGAGTCCAGGAGTTCAAGAGCAGCCTGGGCAACATGGCATGACCTTGTGTCTACAAAAATAATCAAAAACTTTTGGGGAATGTAAAATCACTTTGGAAAATAAACTGACATTTCCTCACAATGTTAACACATAGTTGCTAATTGACCCAGCAATACAACTCCTAGCTGTACATCTAAGAGAAAGGAAAACATAAGTTCATGTAAAATCTGGTACATGAATGTTTATAGTAACATTATTTACAATTTTTAAAAAGTAGGAACAATTTGCTTATGCATCAACTGATAAATGGATAAGCAAACTGTGACACACTCATACAACAAAATATTATTTGGCTGTAGAAAGAAAGTAAGTCCTGACATGTGCTACCACATGGATGAACCTTGTGCACAAAGAAGTCAGACATACATAGTCATGTATTGTATGGCTACATCTGCATGAAATGTCCACGATGGGCAAATCTATTGAGACAAAAAGTAACTTAGTAGCGGCCTAGGGCATGGTAGGTGTGGGTGAGTGGTGATAACTGATATTGAGTGTGAGGTTTCTTTTGGGAAGTAGGGCAAAAATATTCTAAACTTAAATTGTGTTGATGGTTGATCAACTCTGTTAAAATAAAATTAAAAATTTGAATTTTGCATCATAAATGTAGACTTTTTGGAATGTAAATTAAATCTAAATAATGTTAAAAATAAAAAGTTGAAATTTATCAATTAAAAAAAATCAAAAAGTGAGCCAAGCATGGTGGCACATGCCTGTAGTCCCAGCTACTCAGGAGGCTAAGGTGGAAAGATCACCTGAGCCCAGGAGGTCAAAGCTGCAGTAAGCTGTGATTGTATCACTGCACTCCAGCCTGGGCAACAGAGTGAGACCTTGACTCAAAACAAAACAAATCATAAGAAAAAAACCTATGTCTTGTTTTCTGCCTTGGTCTGTATGGCAAGATTTTTTTTCAAAGGCTAAATATGTTAATATTTATAGTGTAAATATTGTGTTATTAACTGACCAAGAATAAAACATTGTACTTTTAAAAACAACTTTTTACTGAAGTATAACAGAATA